GTGTGTGTGTGTGTGCATTTTAGTAGTACTCACCGCACTGCTGCAGGGAATATCTTTGACTTTGAGCCAGGCCAGGTCCAGTGTGCCCTCACCCTTGTAGCACGACTGCAACCTCTCCTTGATTTTCTCGTTGATCTTCCGCAGAGAGAAGACGCACAGTGCAGAGTCCTGCGAGGCCTGGCGTGGACGCCTCTTTTGGCCTTTGGAGAAGACAGCGAACAGTACATCGTCATCCGGTGCCACATCTAGTGAGCGTGCCAGGATAGCACCAGCTTTGGACAGATAGGCCGCCTCGAGTAATCGATACTCCACGTTGCCACTAATGCATCCGATAGGCACCTCCACGTAGGAATTAAAGGCAGTGTCTGCCTTGCAAAGGCGGACTATCTTGGAAGTGTAGACCTGTTCCCGGCCAGCAGAGGAGGACCCAGTGGTTGGTCCGCCCCCCATTTCAGGCTGCAAAGTCAGGAAGTACACAAAGTTCCCACTGGCAAAGCCATAAATGTAGTATATGTCAAAGTCTGGGATGACAGTGAAGGTGTCCGAAGGGATCTTAATCATAGAGGCCACAAACTCATCGTGGAAGACATAGGCAAACATGCCATCCTCCTCAGAGTTTCTGGCCAACTTGCGGCTAGAGATGGTAGGGAAGTACTCGGGCTTGCCATCCACGGCTGTGGCTATAAACAGCATGTCTGGAGAGGCATTGCCATATGATACAATGACACCAAACACAGAGCCACTCTCATTGACACCAGAGAGGTAATGCTCTTTCTTGTGGAAGGGCTCTCCGAGTTTGAAGAGGTCATCTAGGCGAAGGAGTTTGCAGATGCCCTGGTAGAGGCTGCCACATGCCAGCAGCCGGTTCTCCCGATAGTCCATCAGAAGCATCTTGTTGACATTGTTGGTGAGTGTCAGTGGCTCACTACAGGGCTGGACAATACGTGGTGGGTAGCACTTGCGGTTGTCTTCATCTGGGCCAGTCTCGTGGGACACCTGAACCTCCAAGCCCGGGGACAGTTTGTATATGCGATTGACGGCTCCCAAATAAACATTGCCATTGCGAAAGTCCACCGCAAGATGGTTGAATGTCCACTCTGGGTTCTCAGCGTGAAACGACGCATACTCCTCCTCCTGAAGGGACGCTGTGATCACCTGGGAACCAGCACTGTGGGCCTGTGGGGCTTGCACCACTGTCTGTGATGTCACAGAAAGCGCCAGACTAGACAGGAAGCAGCACACAAAAAAGCAGGTCCGTGTCCTCATGAGGGACGCCATGGCTGTGCTGAGGCTGGCAGTGGTGAGGAGAGGGAAGGAGGCACAGTCCAGTACTGTTTGCCAATCAGGATCAAGCCTCTCTTGAGATGGAGGACATTATGTGCCTAAAGAGGTAAGAGACAAAAACCCAGTGAATACCAACAAATCACTATACATTCAAGGCAACTATCACATAGTATTGATAAATATACATTATGTATATGAAGACGATTACATCATCTATGTTCTAATTTTATCTGGCACAGATCAGAGCAGAGCATCATTATAAAGAATAATGAGGAAAACAGGTGAAGAGGGCACACACTTGAGACTCTAGCACAATCTATACTTAGAAAAGAAATGGGCTAGACAAAAAAGGAATGAGGCTGAGGCACAGTAGAGGTTTAAAAGGCACTGTGCAAAGAGAGCTTTAGCCAATAGGATCGGCCTATGGATTGAGGAAGGGGATAGAAGAGGAGGAGTAATGCATTGTCTCAGAGGAGGCGATCAGCATGGCTCTGCACCATCTCTCTGCATGGACCCCTGCCCCTCTCCACCCCTCCTTGCCTTTCTGCTTTAGCCGCTATGCACCTAATTGATTCTCCCCCTGGAGTAGCAATTTGCATGCTTTGGCGATTTCTCCCTTTCTCCCAATAGGGCAGCTCACCTGCTGACACTGCTAGCAGAGAGAAAAGGACCTTCTCTCTCTTTAACATACCTACACATCTACACACACACAC